ATAATATATACATCTATGTATATTGCATTAAATGGCTTTTTTTTTTTTCTCCTTCTCAGAGAATACCGAAGGCTATTTTCCCCTTGAAAACTGGTTGTGTTGCATGCTCTCAGCTTTGTCCCATGCCAGGTCCTGCAAGGCCTCTGTTTGTGTCTGTCTGAGGCTTGATGGGTATAAGAAATCCATTTGGGAGAGGTGATTCCTTTTCTAACTCAGTTGAAGCCATTGTTCACCCCTTATCTCTTCAAATGTCAGAAGTGAGTTGACTTGAATGCACTGTTCTGAAAAGAGTGGAGTGGAAATCAGAGATTGAGTTTGGTAGGAAATTAGCAGCTGAGAGATGAAGGTGCCAGGATTTTTATTTAAATGTGGTACAACAAGACTCTGTCAGTAAAGCACATCATTAGAATATTGAGTTGAGAACTGCTAATTTTTCCTTTAAAATGAGCATACAGTCATGCGTCTCATGGACCATAATAAATTGCCATTGTGTTGTCATTGAGTTTGTTTTGCTTCCTGCAGTACTGATTTGGCAGTTATTCTGCATTTTCTCTCTTCTCTTCTTTTTTTTTTCAGTCTTGCCTTTCTTCAATAGGTCCCTCACCAAAACCAGTCAAAAGAATTTTGTTATTTATTCCCTGCCGTCTTGGGTATAGCATCTTTTGCACCGTTTTCTTGCTTACGGTAGCAAGACATTTGCAGATGGCTGTTGGTTACTATAAAGTACATAACAGTATTTCCTTTGTGGCAGATGGATTTAAGACTTTTAGTTCTCAATAAATGGAGGTTTACAATACATAACTTTACAGGATTTGTGTTGTATATAACAGGTTTGAACATATTATCTCGGAATTCATCTGCATGGCATTTGCAGCTTATTTGGGGTCCATGCCAGTTTTTTTTAAGTAATAGAGAGAACGCTGTGATTGATAGCAGCAGCTCAAGGCGTGATTTTGAATAGAAACAAAGGGTTTAGAACAGAAGGTGTCAAATTAAACTTCGTCAGTTTGAAAAGTAGTAACATCCTGAAAGTTGTATTAATTTATTTACATGTGGCTACTGTTTATATTTTGCCCTCTTTATATGCAGTGTAATGTTGCTTGGCAAATTTACTACATTTAAAGTTTAGGTTGATCCTTGTACCATTTGGGGTTTCAGAGAATGGGTTGGTCTCATTATTTTAAGGCTGTGGGTCCCCCTGTCTTTTCTGCTCTTGAGGACCGTCTGTGATCTAATTTAACTTAGGGAACAGCTCCCTCCTCCCGCCGGTGGTCTCCCATCAAGTCCCAGAGACCTCTCTTACAAACATAATTAGGTTCACATTTTGCAACAAAGCACTGCATACCAGTCCTCAGCTCTCCTCTCCCAAGTAAATCTACACAGTTACCATTTAAAACCCAGTACAGTTTCTTTGGGAGAATCATTGTTCGTATTTGTCATGTATTGCAAATATTCTCACATAGATTGTCTTCCCAATTTTATTTGTTCTAACGATACCACTTACGGAAAAACTGACCTAGAAAAAGGTATTGGGGAACTAGGAAGCATCTTTCTTCTTTAGTTACTTTCTGCAAAACACAGATCAGATTACTGTCATCATTAATAGAGTCACAATCAATAGGATTTGAGGTAGTCAAAATATTCCAAGGTATTTAAATAGTATTAGAATAAATTAATCTTAGTTTTGCCAGTGTAAATTGGGAATGAGCCAGTTTATTTCGACACTGACAAAGAGCTAATGTGTCAAAGTGTCTGTTTTCCATTATTTCTTAAGAGATACACATATCAAGGAATGCATATCTCCTCCCCATCCCCCCTCGCCGCGTGTTTTGTGTTTTTTGAAATACCCTCTAGAGCTAACAGTTCCCAGCTGCACCGTTAAATATTTTTCTAAGAAGCATCTGATTTCAGTCTCTTAAAATCATCGTGTGTCTTGAAAGGCTAGCGGAGACATGCTTCAACTTATAATTCATCAAATTATTTTTAGATAAGGAATTAGAAGTATTATTTAAGGGCAGAGGTTAATAGCAAAGTACTGGAAATGTTATGTTAGTCATGGGCAATTAATAAAAATAAGAATCCGTCTCGTAAGTACAGAGACACAGAAGTGACAATATGAGCAAAATATTTGTTGAATGAGTCAGGGCTCCTTTTCTGAAATATTTGTTAAACCAGCATGAGTGTGATTGTTTAGGAATTAGCTATCATTATTAGCCATTTTAAAAGAACTAATGATTTTCTTTTCCAAAGAACATCTGTGATCCACATGTTTTTTCCCATATATCCAAGTGCTAACGATCCCTACATTACTTTAAAAAGTTTCTAAAGGATGTGAAAAATTATCGGAGTTTTTCAGCTCTCTCCAAGAAGCTTTTCTTACATGAATCATTCTTAATTTAACTTTTAGCAATTTTTAGTTACAAGCATTTATTTCTAAAAAAAATTCTGGGATGCTCAATGTTGAGTACTTCCTGCAATAGTATAATACTAGCTATATTTTTTGTTTTTTGGTTTTTTTTAACTCCGTTCCTTTATAACTTCTTATGGAAGGTAAATAAAATTGTCTGATTTACTGTGTTCAGGCATAGGGGTCCTGTCAGTTGTCATAACTGAAGGAAACAGACAAGGGGGAGAGGAAAAGGGATCTTACCCACAACATTATTTAAGCCTGCAGAAAGATAGATATCTGAAACCTACACAGCAACAAAATTTAGAAGTAAAGTGTAAAGAAAAGCTTAGATGTAGGAAAATGGTATAATATTTTCGTGGCTTAGTCTAAATAGCAAATATTTACCAGTAAGGGCTAAGTAAACACTTCCAGGTGTGGGTTTCAAATACTTTAAATCCTCAAATACAGTTACGTAGTTAATGTTACATCCACATCAGTGGGGCTGAAATCGCTTATATTATGGTATTCTGGAAATAAGCATATAGAACTGCCACAGTTAGAACAGAAGTATGTTCGGTGACACTGTAATCACAATGCCTATTATGTTTTATTTAGCTGATATTCTTTCAGGCAAATCTTCAGCTCACTGCCTGCTCTCTTAACCTTGAACCAGGCATTCAGTGGCACCAGATGAGCACGTGATGACGTGACCTCCCCCGTGTATATATGTGTCTAATTAAATGAGCTGTTGAGCGGGAAATTCAGTAGATCCCATGAGACTTAGCTACGATCCCCATTGGCTGGTTAGCAGGCAGGCCTTGGGAAGCTAGTACATCAGTTCTGTCTCCTTTCAAAATCTCCCAAGGTAGGGGAGAACAGGCCTTGCGTCTTCCACTGTGTACCACACTCAGAAGAGTTTTCTCTCTAACGGCTTCAGTTTGAGAAGGGAAGTCGTGGCATCCTCTAGCCTCGCCTTCCGTAACATAAGAAACCAAGTCCTCCTTAGCTAGATCTAAAATTACATACAAAGAAACTACTTGTTCCGTTCCCATCCAACCCCATTTACCTGAATTTGCCAAGCAGAGCCTAGGACTTGGACAGTCAGTGCTCGTGGTTTGCTGAAGGCCCTGGAAGGGAAGAAAGAGGACAGTGACCATAAGACACGCTCTCAGTCCAGGTGTGGCCCTAGATTGGTAGGGTAGGCGCAGGAAGAATAGGGATGACCATCTCTAGAGAGGAAACTGAAGGCCAGAGTGAGGTGTCCGCTTGGAGAAAAGGAGCCAGGGACTTTGTGCCACTGGGTCAGCCAATCACTGGCCACTAGGGCGTGGAGGTCGGTGAGGACGCGGTAATCTTCCATGCATCTCTGGATGAGGTGACTCGGAGACATTTCTCCAGAGCAGTGTGCAGCTGAAGGGGTGGCTGCCCTGGCAGGCGGGGGTCCAAGTGGGACATCCTCTCTTCCTCTCCGTCATTGTTTATTGCCCATCATGGCAGCCAAGATGAAAGTTTGAGACAGCAACTCGCAAATGTACTCTCATGGACCACTCGTTCTTGACTCATAATCCCCGGATCAGAGGCTGGGCCTCAGGGAGCCTCAGAGAGGTTCAGGTGTTGGCATTCATTGGGATTACCTTCTGTCTTAACCCAGGAAACCTGCGAAAGTTCTTGCCTGACAGATCGCACGCTCACACTGCAGCAGGCAGAAAAGAGAGACTCCAAGGTCTCTTTCTGGAGTGTTCTTTCTTAGAGAATGATTGCAGAGCCCATTCTAGTCAACATGTCTCATACCAGACAGCATTCTTGCTGACACAGTTGTACGTGTCCTTTCCTACATAAGGACATGCACCAAATCGTCACACAGTTTTCTTTCTGGTACAAAAAGTATGAGCTTAGGAAGTCCTTTTATAAAGAAAAAAAAAAGTAGTTATAAAATCTGTCAAACCTGTCATCCCAGCACTTTGGGAGGCCAAGGCGAGAGGATTGCCTGAGCTCAGGGGTTTGAGACCAGCCTGGGCAACTTGGCAAGACCTCATCTTTGCAACAAATCAAAAAACAAAAAAATAGCCAAGCGTGGTAGCACATGCCTGTAGTTCTAGCTACTTGGAAGGCTGAGGTGGAAGGATCACCTGAGGCCAGCAGGTCAAGGCTGCAGTGGTTGTGAGCATGCCACTGCACTTGAGCCTGGACAACAGAATGAGACTTCAACTCAGAAAAAAAAATCTGTCCTGCCTCTTCTTGCCTTCAGTGTCCTCACATGGCTGCATCAGACTAGAAAGTTGGGCAAGACCGACAGCACACAGCTTGGTTTTTCTCCTGTTTCACATTTTTTTAAAGTCCATGGTAAATGCCCTCGTGCCCTCAGAGCCTGAAAAACACATCTCTCCTTTAAGAATCAAATCGCAGCATTGATTCGAAGCAGCCTGCCTCCTCGACAGCCACAGATCATCCTCTCTTAACAAGTTAAAAAAAAATAAATTTTTTTAAAGCAGATCAGAGTGTCTGGAGCTTATGAAAAAGTTAACCCCTAGAGTCTTTCCTTATATCTCCCCATGGAAAATGCCGCCCCACCTGTATGCACGAACTGACCTCTTGTGCCCTTGTCTCTAAGGGGTGGTTGTGCGAGCTGTTACGCTGGAAAGAAGATCCTTCTCCGGAAAACAGGACCCTGTGGGAGAACCTGTCCATGATCCGAAGGTTCCTCAGCCTTCCCCAGCCCGAGCGCGATGCCATCTACGAGCAGGAGAGCAACGCGGTGCATCACCATGGCGACCGGCCGCCCCACATCATCCACGTGCCTGCAGAACAGATTCAGGTTCGTTTACCTTGGCCGATCCGGTGCAGCCACGAGTAAACAGAGCTTTAAACGTAGCAGGGAGACGAGCGCATCCCTCCTCCCTGCCAGTCTAAACACGGGCTTTTTAAGGGGATAGCGACGCTCTGCCATCTTGCTCAGGGGGACCGAAGGAACCTGGACGTGCTTTTCTCGACACACGAATTGTGTCCCTCTCGTCTTCCGCCCCCCAGAGTGACAGGAACCCCACCTTTTATACTCTTTGTGTGGCAGGTGTGCCTTTGTGAGTATTGGGTGTTGTGTGTGAGAGCCAGACATGTTTGTGTGTTTTTTAAAAATCAGGATTTCAAACACAACCTATTATTATTATTTTTTAATTAATACCTTCCTGCCCCCCGAGGGGGAGACTCGCTGCTGTGGCTGTAGAGGAGGTTTGTGGAATCACAATTTGGGACCTTGGATTCTGCCCAGAGAGGAGGGAGGGAAGCCCTCCCAGAATCTTGGTTTATTTCTGGGCCCTTCCTTCCCCCACGGCTGTCTCCCCTATCCCCAGAGGCTGTGAGTTAGGGGCGTGTCACGGCTGTGTCTTTCCACGGGAGATCTTCCAGCGCCCTTGGGAAAGGACGGTCTAGTGGCATTTTCTTCCCTGACCACAGACCCCTACACCACGACTGGGTGCTGCTTGCCAGGTAAGCGGGCACAGGCTACCTGTGTGGCCAGGGACACGGAGGTCGAGGTGTCAGCACCTGCCCCCGGGTCAGGAATTTCAGACTTGAGAAGGACCCCCCAGCCACAGCGTGACCCACGACCACCGTGCCCGCAGATCCAGTCTTGTTTTGCGGCATCACGAGCCTTGTCTCTGACCATCTGCTGAAGTAGCTCCCCTGTGAATTCATTCGTTCGTTCTAGAGTCAGAGTCTCACTCCGAGGCCCAGGCCGGAGTGCAGTGGCACAATCACGGCTCATGGCAGCCTCGACCCACTGGGCTCAGGCGATCCCTCTGCTCCAGTCCCCTCTGAGTAGCTGGGGCTACAGGCATGCGCCACCATGCCTGGCTAATTTTTTAAAGTTTTGTAGGGATGAGGCCTCGCTGTGTTGCCCAGGCTGGTCTCAAACGTCTGGGCTCACGCAATCCTCCTGCTTTGGCCTCCAGAGTGCTGGGGTTACAGGTGTGATACTCTATGCCCAGCTACCCCCTGTGAGTGTAGCTGGAACGTTCTGAGATCTGATAGTTTGTTAGTGCTCTTATGGCCTCAATTGGTTAAGAAGTGTGTTGTCATTGAACTTGAGCTGTAGAACTTACTTCTGTTAAATCTCAGCGGATGTTTTTAGCTTGTTCCTTTAAGGTAAAACACCATTGCCTTCCAGAGTCCTAAAATTCCACTATTTTTGTTGAATCACCTGCGTTATTTCTTGAGGTTGCTGTGAAATGTACATAACTCAAAACAAGAACAGAGTTATCCATCCGCCAGGAAAAAAAATTCTCTAGTGTGTAAGATAAAACAGATTGACAAAGAGCATCCGTTTAGGATCTCAAGCACTAAAATAATCGTGGAAGCCTGAAAAACGTACCGTTTAGCAAAAACAAAAAAGAGAAAGATATACATCAAGTAATAAAAAATAGCTCTTGTTTGGAAATGTAAATTGTTTTTAATAAAATTGCTTCTTAAGGGGATAAAGGGAAGGGGTTAGGCATAGTATAAACATGCTAACACATTGCCACTTGCCTGGGTTGATGTGCTTGGCTGATAACAATTCTGGCTGTGGAGTTTGTCCTGTGTGCATGTGTCACACGTTTGTTATGTATAATTGTGTAAGGAAATTATAGCCCATATACAGATACTGATTATGCAGAAAGTGTCTGTATACACTAAATTTAACTCCTCATCTCATCTGAGTTTACTGCAGACAAAACAATTGCTAGCTGTCGTACAGCGGATTGAACCTTTATATGGGGGTAAGAAAAAAAGCTTGCAGTGTCAGCCTAGTGCAGTGTGGTAAGGAGTTGTGTGTGCGTCACCTTGGAGCTGTCTGATAGGAGGTTCTCCAAGGTGAGAATCCCGAGCACCCCTCGGACCCAGGGCAGACCCCATTGAATGGAGCACTATTGAAGTCTCACCTGGGCTTTTCATCTGATGAAAGGGGCAGCTCCGTTTCCCTCCTACACCTCTCCAGCTCAGCTTTCTGAAATGTCTTGGAAATCCCTGTTTTTCCATCTTCCTTTCAAATCTCTGCTAACGATGGACATTGTCATCCGATCCACCGTCTTCGCCCCATGGAGTTTGAGGCTCAGGTATTTTTTATTTTTATTTTTTTTTAGTTGGGCTCTCACACTGTCACCCAGTTTGGAGTGCAGTAGCACGATTGTGCCAGCCTCAAACTCCCAGGCTCAAGTGATCCTCCTGCCTCAGCCTCCTGAGTAGCTGGGACTACTGATTTTTTAAAATTTCTTTGTAGAGATGAGGTCTCGCTGTGTTGTCTAGGCTGATCTTGAACTCCAGGGCTCAAGCAATCCTCCTGTGTTGACCTCCCAAAGTGCTGGAATGGCAGGCGTGGGCCACTGCACCTGGCCCATTTTATTATTTTCATGTGGGCTCAGGCAGTCCTCCCGTCCTGGCCTCCCAAAGTGCTGGGATGACAGGTGTGAGCCACTGTGTCTGGCCCACTTTTATCATTTTCACGTGGGCTCAAGCAGTCCTCCCGTCTTGGCCTCCCAAAGTGCTGGGAGGACAGGCGCCAGCCACCGGCCCGTCCCGCTTTTATCCTTTTCACGTGGGCTCAAGCAGCCCTCCCGCCCTGGCCTCCCAAAGGGCGGGGATGATAGGCGCGAGCCACCGCGCCTGTTCTGCCCACCCGCCCGCCATTTGCTGTTGTGCCCGATGCCGCGGGCTGGGAGCTGGCCCGCCTCCTCCTCCTGGGTCCCCGTCCCGCCCGAGCGCGGGCCGAGCCCTCCGAGCC